TAAGTCAAATTCTTGTTCCGATTTCGATTCGAGTCACACTCGGGGTACTTGGGACCCCGTTCGAATATACCAACAAGTCCCGTAACATAATACGGACTTACTCGGGGTCAAAAATTATGTCAAACAATGCTGAAATAACAATTCACACCCCGATTCGAACTTTGAGTTTTAAACTTTTCCATTTGCAAATCTCATGCCAAAACATATTAAATGAATCCGAAATGACTTCAAATTTGGCACACAAGTCCTAAATGACATAACGGAGCTATTCAAATTTCCAGAATCGTATTCTGGCTCCGATATCAAAAAGTCAACCCCGTGATCAAACTTAAAAATCTTTAGCCTTTAAATTATTAGTTTCCGTTAAATGGTCATAACTTGAATTACGGATCTCCAAATTAAATTTCAGGCATACGCCCAAGTCCCAAATCACGATACGGACCTACCGAAATTATCAAAATACTGATCCGAGTCTGTTTGCTCAAACTGTTGACCAAAGTCAACTCAGTTGAGTTTTAAAGCTCTATTTCATATTTTAATCCATTTTTCTTATAAAAACTTTTCGGACTGCGCACGCAAGTCAAGGAATGATAAGTAGTATTTTTTGAGGTATTAGAACACAGAATTACTTATTAAATTTAAAGATGACATTTTGGGTCATCACAACACGTATAGAGTACGACTGGAATTGGCTAGTGCGCTTTAGGTAAACAACTTAAAGATAGTAATCGGGTAGCAGAAGGTGATAGTCTGTGCCCGCTGAATAATATGAGTAACACCCAATCTTGAGGGAGTTACGAAGTATTATTTATGTTGCACGGGGTGATCCTTTAGGCTAACAAACTTAGGACCCCCCACCACCACCACCTTTGTTTTAAAGTCAATCATTCTATTTTATTTGCCCAATTTTGTCTCTTCTCCTTGCTTAGACTAGTTCATATAATTCGAGTTCGACCAGGACCCACCATTGTGGACCTCGAGGAGTGCCTATCACCTTCTCCTCAAGGTAATTTGAGCCCTTACCCGATTTTTGGTGAAGCAACAGGTTAAACCAGAGTTATCTGCAAATAGGTTCCCTAACGCACCTTAAATCCGTTAGGTGGCGACTCTCTCTTTTAACACCCCTTCCTTTAAAAGAAGTTATCACGTGTCGAAACCCGATTTCGCGAGAAAGAAAGGGGCGCGACACTCCTATATTTTTTTATTGTTTTTCTTTTTTCTTTATGAAATAGGTCAACTTGGAGGAGACATGGGCATAATAAATCTTTACGTGTAAAAAATTGTATAATCTGTTGACAAGCAGCCAACTTGGTGGAGACATGGGCATAATAAATCTTTACGTGTAAAAAATTGTATAATCTGTTGACAAGCAGCCAACTTGGTGGAGACATGGGCATAATAAATCTTTACGTGTAAAAAATTGTATAATCTGTTGACAAGCATTTTCTTTTATAGGTCATGTCTTACAAATTCATATTTGTACATATATTGTTTTCTGCTTCCAATGCATCTAAATATTCTTTCAAAATAATGCATTGAATAATTTGAATTGCTCATGAATTTTCATACTTTCTCATGTTTTCAAGCATCTAAGTAAATTGAAGTAGTGAAACTCTTTCATGGATTAATTTATTTTGATATCAATCAATAAGTTATCAACGTTCAACATCAAGTTTTAACTGTTCTAAATTTTTATTATCTTTTCAAATTAGAATTTGAATTAAGGTTGTCCAACGAGACGGGACGAGAACAAATAATACGGGACGGGACGGGACGACATTTAGCCGGGACGGTGGTGGGACGGGACAAAACGGTAGGCCCATCCCATCCCGCTAACAAACGGGATGAGACAGGATGGGACGGGACGGTTTCGCGGGCCTTAAGTGGGCCATTTTTTTAAAAAAAATTATTATTATTTAAGCATTAAGTTTGGCAGCGGCTAGTTTTTTTACAATGACTAAGTTTTTAAAGTTTGCAACGGCTAGTTTTTTGACTTATTTAATAAACTTAAAACTTAATAAATTATAAGGAAATTAGGAAACTAAGTAAATATTTATAAAATATTAAAAGAAAAGACTTGTAATGAAATATTTTAGTAATTATAATAGATTTATAATTTATTTAATATAATTTCAAGTCATTAAGTAACTAAGTAAGAGTGTAAGACAATTCATAAAAAAATCAAGGCTTAGAGCCTTTTATTTTATTAATTGAACTTTCAAATTTGACATACAAATATAATTCTTTTAAAGAGAACCTAATCTACGCAACCACCTTCTAAGAAGGGTTCTGTTTGAATTAGGCCTCTTAGTAGCCAATTACAAATTATCATATTAATATTTGTAAGCTCCTATATAGTTTCGTTGTAACTTATCTATATTTTATCTCAGACATTGTTCTGGAATTGGCAATGTTAATTGATGTTCCATGAGTTATCGCTCCCAGTGCTAAGTATCTCATTGTATTCTTCTTCTTCCCTAGTGGTTAATTTTTCAAAATCAAGATTTCTTCTTTATGAATTAATCCTATCTCTCAATAATACGGAAATATCTAGGTTGTCCTCCTAAAATATTGCTCCAAATACTTGTTGAATTAATTTGAAGCTTGAAAATTGCTCCAAACATTTGCCTAGATACTAGAAACTTAGTTGATCACTTGATTGTGAGAAAATTGAGAGAAAAATATAGATAGAATGTAAGACATTTGAGAGAGAATGATTGATTTTTGTGGGAAAAAAATGAAGGATGGGATATTTATAGTTAAAAATAGGACCAAAGTGTAATTTAATAAACTTAGGAGTTATATTAAAAGTTAGGGGAGGGGGTAGAGGGTGTTTTGGGAGGTGGGGCCAAATATGACCGTTTATGGTCGTTTATGACCGTTGGGAACGACTAAATTTGCAATGGAGGACGTTGCCCAACGGCTATATTTCAAAAATAAAAATAAAAAACACGCGGGACAGACGTGACGGGATAAACGGGACGAAATGGGCATTCTGTCCCATTCCGTGTACCGTTTAACATGGGGCCAACCCATTTAGATTTAAGTGGGCCGGGACGGGACTGCCCGTCTCGTTGGACAGCCTTAATTTGAATAGATTAACAAGAAAATCAGTATAAATCAAATTACTGAAAACTCAAAAAAGAGAATGATTAAAACTTAATACAATTTCAAAAAGGTACTCTTAATAAATTTCTATTAATAAATTAAAAAACTAAATAAAATAAGTACTGAGTGTTCTTAAAATAAACAATTCAGCCGAACTAATTGAGTTAACGTTAATCATTCCAAGAAAAAGAAGAACGCATGTCAAAAAGTTAAAAAAAAACTCAAATAAATGAATATTAATTTTGCTTTAGGCATCTTAATAAAATTTGCTTTAGGCGTTATTTTGTTTATTAACCGTTTCCTAAGCTGTCTTATCATTTATGCGCGTTCCATTCTTAACAGTTAACACCGATCCTTACTATTGGTAGAAACTTTTCTGTTTTCATTTTGGAGAAGTGGTGAGCCCGTTTGGACATAATAAATTGTTCCCTTTTTTTCGAAATCAGCGTTTATTCATAAAAAATTTAACTTTCACTTGAAGATACATTTTGGAAATTTAAAAAATTTTAAAAAGCTGTTTTTACAATTCTTATGTCCAAACACTCACTTAGAGTTGTCAAAACGACCCAGCTCAGCCCAAGCCTTTTAGGCTTTTAAATTTGATGGGCTTAGACGGGCCGGTCACCATATGAATGGGCCTCAAAGTGATCAGCCCAACCCAGTCCTAAGAGGTTTGCGGGTTAGGGTGGGCCGACCCTTCAATTTTTTTTAGAACAAAAAATTTCTTTAAATCTTTAAATATTTTTTTTAATATAGTCGTTTAATCATGTAAACAACTTCTATTTGCTTAGAGCGTACACAAAGCTTGATATTTGACGAGAAATCACGTAACTGAAATGTAAATTTTGTATATCTCTAGCTCTTCTTTTTTAAAGTTAGATGAATATTTTCTTAATATTTTTCTTTCATTTTTCTCAGATTCAGGGATTGCTTCAATAAATTTATATGCTGAGGTTTTTTAATTTAGGATTAACATCTTTTGCTGATTTCATCATTATAATCCATAAAAATTTTAAAATACTTGAAATTTTCTAGTGGTCAACTTTTTTTGTCTGTGTATTTAAAATTAATCTTTTTCTATACTGAAGAGTAGTTTAAATATTAATAATGTATTAAAATAATCCAAACTGATCATTGGCTAGTTAAAGTAATATTTTCTTTTAAAAAAAGATTATCATTAGCCACCTAAAACTTTTCGACTTCGTTATTAATTAAGCAAAAGAAAAACTAATTTTGTAATATTACATGCATGTCAAAAATCTAAATTCTAATTTATATGAAAGAGTAAATGGGCAATCCATGGTTGGGGAATGAGATTATAGTTAATAATTTTTTTAGTTTTTACTTTTTTAAATATTAAATATTTAATAGTTAATTAATTTTTGGCCCACGAGCTAGCTCAGGGCCAGCGGGCTAACTTGGACCGCACTTATAAGCCTCAGTTTTAAATGGGTTCAAAAGATCCTAGCCCAACCCTACCCATGTAGCGGGCTGGGTTAGACTGCCTCACAGATCAAGGCTCTAGTCATGCTATCTTGATAAAGTATTCTTCGGGAAAGTTTATTCCAAGATGACCAACCTAGATTCATTCAGTGTGTGTTTGCTAAACAAAAAGTGTTAGAAATTCTTTTTTTGAATTCTTTTTCAATTTTTCAAACTTTCACTAGTTCTGGATAAGCCAATACATCTCTAAAACCTTGACTTCCATAAGAAAAATGACCTAAAACCTCGTTAAGGAAGGTTCCTGTAGATCAGATGTGTATGTTTAACTGTGAAACTATTGCTATGTGACTGTCCATCATCAGTTCATAACTAGCTTGAAAAACTTTGACTTTTGGTTCCATGAGATTTAAGTTTGTTTTCACTAACATAACGCTATATACAACCACATAGAGCTGCATTCTATACAACATGGAGTCGAGCAAGCTTAACTTTTTACAAAAAGTTAAGTTTACAAAATCTAATACACCAAAAGGTTGTGCTTAGGGAGAATAATATACATTGTTTTCCACCCCTTTCAAAAAGAAGTAACTAAAATAGATTAGTTAAACAATATACATAGGAGTTTAAAGAACTAAACAAGTGAAACCATCTTACATACCTTCAGCTGAAGTAAATATAATGACATTGAACAAAAGTTTGGATCTACTAACCCTTTCAAACACACAAACATCACCTACTTTTAGGTTATTGTCCAGCACAAACTCCTTCCAACCCGAGGTCAACTTAGAGTTTACTGTTCCAAGACTGCATTTTACTGCCCATGATCTCTTGCTTGAATTTTAAAGTATCACATCACTATGTTTAGTGGCAAAAAATTTCCTAGCTATCAGCAGCGTTATGGACTATCAATTTGAAGGATGCATTATTATACAAAACGAAAGATTCATCATTAATTAACAGTGACAATCCTTATAATCAGGGATTTGCTTTATGTCACTAAGATATTCAACTTCACCAGATATTCAAGAATAGCCATCTTACCAATTGCATCGGTCCGCTGGCAGAAGACGCATATGATGGTTGCATGAAACATATGAAGAATGGATTTTCAGATGTAAAAGCTTTTGCTCTTTGATATGCTAAGACCATTTCTTTGGCCACTGCACCGCCCTTACAAGAAGACTTAGATTGTTGCACATGCTTCCCAGCATCTTCACTGAGTTCTTCTGCAGAAAATCAAGCCAACACAACCACATTGAACGATCAAGAAAGTACCTTTAATTGATTCTAAAAATTAAAGGTATGATATTTCTGTATACATCAGATCACTTTATAGCGAGCCATTCAATCACCTTTCGTTTTTGAAGTGAAACCATCTGGATTTCCTTTCTGCTGCTTTTCAAGATTCAGTTTCCTGCTATGAACTATTTTGGATTGAGAACATGGAACTGAATTCTCAGTTTTCATAGCTTTGTTTTTACAATCAGAAAAGCCCTGGCAATTTTCCATCTATCTTATGTATTGGTTTGCTCTCAGCTGTACGAAATATAGTGACATCTAAAATGGGCTTAGTGCCCTTAATCAATTCAAATACACAAACATCACCAAATTTTAACTTATTGTCCAGCACGAATGCCTTCCAATAGAAACAAATCTTTGTTTTTGATTTTCCCAGGATGTATTTGACAGACCAAGATCCCCTGCCAGGAACACGAAGCACTAAAAAGCCACATTTCTCCCAGACATATTTCCTAGCAAATAAGAATGATATGTCCTGCCAAAACAGATGGACATAGTAAAGTGAGTATAATGGCATGCACTATTATGGATTTAATAAAGATAAAAGCACTGGAAAGTCCATAGAGTTTAGCTTAGCTTACCAGTCTATATGGTGTCAAGACATACGATGGTTGCATAAAATACATAACATATGGATTCTCAGATTTAAAAGCTTTTGCTCTTTGGTATGCTACAGTCCTCTCTTTGTCCAATACTGTTGTGTTCTTATCGTAAACCATCTTGGACTGTTGCTTGTCCATCTGGCAACTTTCTCCACTTTCTTCATAGAGAAATTCAAAATCAATGTATTACTACTAAATTGTCATGTAAGCAGATGATCAATACTGTTAGTAAGCCAGAGTAAACCCTTTCTTACTTTTGGTTTTTCTTGTAAAAGAAGGTGAAGCTACATCCTCTTGCGTGTTTGCCACCTTGATACTTTTGGTGTGAATGTCAATTGAAACATCATCCTCTGTCTCCTCTTCTAGTCTTTTTATTTTGCGGTCATGTCCTAACGGACAATGACCTAGAATCTCAGCAGAACTCTCAATCCCAGTGCCTTCATCATGTTCTTCTGAAGAAATTCAAGCCAATATAACCTTGTTGAAAAGATCAAGAAAACTAACTAGAACAATGAACGCTAAAAATGTGAAATATGAACCTCCTCTCCTCTGCTTTAATCTATTGGTGTGAACTACTTTTGGAGGAGAGCATGGAACATAAATATCAGTATTGATAATCTTTCTTTTACTATCAGAAACCCCTGGCACTTCTCCAGCTATCTTAAGTATTGGTGTGCTTCCAGCTGCTGGAAATATGGTGACATCCATCAAGAGCTTAGTGACCTTAATCACTTCAAAGACACAAACATCACCATATTTTAACTTATTGTCCTGCACGAATGCCTTCCAACCAGAACGAATTTGTGCTTTTGATGTTCCCAGGAAGCATTCGACAGACCAAGATCCCCTGCCTGGAACACGAAGTACAAAATTGCTATATTCATCCCGGAAGTACTTCTTTGCAAATGTGGCTGATATGTTCTGCCAAAACAGATGGATATGGTGAACTGAGTATAACAGCACGCATCCATATGGATTGAATAAAGATCAGAATATTGGAAAGTCTATAAAGTTTATAGCTTATAGCTTACCAGATTATATGGTTTTGAAACATATGATGGTTGGATAAAAGATATAATGAATGGATTCTTAGATTTAAAAGCTTTTGCTCTTTGATATGCCATAGCCCTCTCTTTGTTCATTCCTGCCTTGTTCTTACCACAAACAATCATGGTTTGTTGCTTGTGCATCCTGCAACTTTCTCCGCTTTCTTCGAACAGAAATTCAAAATCTATGTGTTACTATTTGTCATGTAAGCAGATGATCAATTGTTCATAGCCAGTAAGTCAGAGTAAACACTTTCTTACTTTTGATCTTTCTGAAAGAAGGCAAAGTTACATCCTTATGTGATGTTTCCACCTTGATATTTTTGGTGTGAATATCAATTGGAACATCATCCTCTGCATCCCTTTCTAGTCTTTTTCTTTTCCTGTACTGTACTAACGGACAATGGCCCAAAATCTCAAAAGAGTGCTCATTCCCAGTGCCTTCACCATGTTCTTCTGCTGAAATTCAAGTAAATATAACCTTTTCAAAACTATCAAGAAAATTAACTAGTACAATGGACGCTAAAATGTAAGTATCTGATCATCATGTATACTTCAGAATATCTTATAAAGAGAATAACTTTATCACCTTTAACTTTTGAATTGAAACCACATGCACCTCCTCTCCGCTGCTTTAAATTCTTGGTCTGAGCTATTCTGGATTGAGAAAGTGGAACAGAACTATCTGAAACCCCTGGCACTTCTCCAGCTGCTGGAAATATGGTTATATCCATCAAGAGCTTAGTGCCCTTAATCACTTCAAAGACGCAAACATCACCAGGTTTCAACTTATTGTCCATCACGAATGCCTTCCAGAAGATTTTAGCATTTGTTGTTCCGAAAGTGCATTTGACAGACCAAGATCCCCTTCCTGGAACATGAAGCACTAAATTTCCGTAGTTCTCAAGGAAATACTTCCTAGCAAATTTCAATGGCATGGACTGCCAAAGGAGATAGCTCAGTAAATTGATTTTAACGTTGTGCAAGATGGAGCAAGAAAGATCAGTCAGTTTATAGCTTGTAACTTACCAGATTGAATGGAGAGAAGACATATGATGGTTGCATAAAAGATATAATGAACGGGTTCTTAGATTTAAAACCTTTTGCTCTTCGATAGGCTATAGCCCTTTCTTTGTCCATTACTGTCTTGTTCTCATCATAAACAATCTTGGATTGCTGCATGTGCGTACAGCAGCCTTCACTGCTTTCTTCAAATAGAAATTTAAGATCACTGTGTTAATACTAAATGGATTTAAGTTATATACATCTGCCATTGTAAAGATATTTTACACCTTCAGTGTAGTTTAACCTATGATAGTACATTAGTTACCATTTTACCCCGTTACAAATTGGTGCTTATCATAAAGATTTACTTGTAATTACCTAATGACATGATTGTGTCAATATATTTTACACCGGCAGTGTATAGAACTTAAACTTATACTAAATATTCAGTTCATAGCCAATAAGAGCGAATAAAATACTCACTTTGGCCTTTTCTTATGAAAGAAGGTGAAGCTACATCCTCTGCATCTCCTTGTCTTTGTCTTTTGCTGGACTGTCCTAATGGACAATGGTCTAGGTTCTCAACAGAATTCTCAACCATATCAGGAGTTATCGTGTTCGCTTTCTGGCTTCTGGGAATAACCTCGTGGATCTCTACAGAATGATCCGACTCGGACTGGTCTCTTTCTTGTGCATGACGTGTTTCATGGGAATAAGAAATGGGAGTGTGTATACCATGGGCAGAACTGTATGGATATTCAATTTCTGATGCACTTAAATCAAATATAGTGACATTAAAATGGGAACGAGCATTGTATCCAAATATCAAAAAGTGGCCGCAGCTTATTGAATAGAAGTCGCTGAAATCTTGCCATCCAATGCCTAGACAAATTCGGCCTTGAGAATGAACAACTTCAACCTCCCATACTTCTCCACTTGGAACCTCAAGATACACAGGGTTTAGCATGTTCTTGCAATATTTGCTGGCAAAGTCTTCCGGAATCCTCTGCGTGCAAAGGAGATTTGAACTCAGTTTCATACATCTCGAATTACAGTAAAATATGCCTGTTTTCTCGAGAAAATCCTGCAATATACTTGCATAGTGTATTCTCTGTTCTTTCAGAAATAACTACCAAAACAAAAATATCCACAGTAATCTAATTATGCCAACTAGAAAAGATAGCGGATATTTTTGGATATAATTAACCTGTGAATTGGGATATCTAAGTTTTACTATAGATAAGGAGACAGATATTATTTCATTCTTCTATATCAGAAGATTTAAGCAACAGATGTGTGAAAATAAAATAATGCATTCCAATAAGATTAACAATATATCTTCAAAAAGTTGCTCATTCATACTATTAGTGAAGCCTTAACCCCTTAATGTAGCTACCTGACTCGTTCATATAAGTCTACACCTAAAATTGACCATGATTTCCTATAACCCATACAAAACCATAGGCCTAAATTTATAACAACGTCTGTTAGTTTCTTCACTGTACTCTTTTCCCAACTTTTATATAACTTATTTCTCATTTTGTATCTTTGTCAGCACTGACCCGCAAGTAATTTTAATCGATCTGCAACTACTAGCCATGGGAAGTTAAACTGTATTTCTCTTTATTCAAAAGAAATAATTGTAAACTCAGACTCGTCAGAAACCTATATTCAAATTGGAGAAATAAAAATTAATACTTTATTTCATTTTAAATTTATGTGACACTATTTTTTTTTAGTATATTCTGAAAAAGATACACCTTCTATATATGAAAATAATTTAATTAATGTCACACTTTTATAGCCACATAAAATGTCATAGGATAGTTAACACCACAAGTGTTAAAAGTTTTCTACTTTTTCGATCTTAAAATTCCGCTCCTAATCAAACACTATCACCCAAATGATATGGAGGAAGTATTTAACAAAAATGCACTCATCGACACCATTCAAGTATATTTAACAAAAACAACTACCGCCCAAATAGTCTGAAAAGGAAATATTATTCAAATCACTTCAAATTTCTCTCCTTTTTTTCTTGCTTTTCCTTTATATTGTGAATTTGGGATACTTGAATTAACCAGTTAACATGGAAAGAATAATCTCAGCCTCTCTTCTAAAGAACTCATGCAGATGCCGTTAACCTACAAAGAAACTAAATCTGTGTCTTAATTTTCTTTGCACGAAGTCAAGACATGTGATTACAGGTAAAATAAGAAGAATTAAATTATACAAAATGAAAAATTATAGCTGATGCATGCACACCAAAATCTTTGGTTCAACAAATCCCCCCAACCCAAAACACACACAGAGGACATAGATTGAAACAACAACAACCCAGTATTATAATTCCATTTCCGACAGATTCTCGGCTCTCTGTCTTCAAGAACTGCCGCCTTGCTCTTGGGTGACTCGAATTCGCACTCTTGGTCGGAAGTGTAGGCTCTTGTCAGGACATAGATTGAAAGTAGCAGCAAATTAAAAGAAGGGAAAAAATAAAAGGAAGAAAGTGAATACCAGACGGCTGCATTCATGCTGGAAAAATATAATCTTGAAGAACTTTGGTTGAGGAATTTTAGCAGTAGAAGATTTCCAATGGGAAGAGCCTTCACCACTTTGCAGGTGGGGCTTAGCTGCCATGACTGATCTAATTTGCCAATTGAAGAAGATGGTAAGTATAGTAGAGCAACAGAGTTAATTCCCTTGTTTCTTAATTAATTAATTAATTAATGCTTAATAGGTGCAGAGTGATAGGTAAATAAACATATTATGATCATTGATGTGATAAGATTAGCCCAGGGATCGAGGAGACAAATAAATGAATGTTATATGTGACATGAAAAGCTAATTGGCATTTTTTATTTTTTACAATGTTGAATTTTAAAAAATGTGCTACTTATATTTTATATGTAAGATTAAATGTCCCATGGGTAAAAAAAAAAAAAAGGATGGGATCATACAACTAAAACTAATTTTGCAATAGTCACAAAACCATTTGACCAGTAAAGATGTTGAATCTATTACTTAATGGTTCTGATTTCCGTATCATGCTAAAGTCTGAGTATTGCTATATGAACTTCCTAAATGTTACTCCCTCCGTTTATTTTAACCCCATACGTTCACTTTTACTTGTCCACTATATTAAAAATAAATTTTTATTTTTACTTGTCTATTATACTTTTTTTTATGTTCACTATATTAAATCAAGAGAAAGACAATCTTTTTTTCCTAAATTACCCTAATCATTAAGTACTCATTCTCCAAACCATTTCCCAATTTTTTTGGAAATGTTATTGTTATTATAAAATATATATTTTATTTATTATTTCTTAAGGGACGTGAAAAGTCCACAGTGGACAACTAAAATTGAACGAGGGAGTAGTTATTCAATTTTGACTTTGCACTTGTAGAAAAACTAAATAAAGTATGTATTTTATAATTTTACCCAGTGTTTTAAAAGGCGTGGGCGTAAGGCGAGGAGTTTTACATATGCCTCAGCGAGGCGTAAGCCCCGAGGCACGGGGCATAAGTGTCACAACCCCAATTTCCCTCCGCAGGATATCGTGATGGCACTTAATCTATAAGACTAGGTAAGCCTATCAATTATGCGGAATAACGGAATCTAAAACTGAAACTTAAATCTCAACATATGATATAATTAAAAACTGCAATTCAAAATAGTTACAACTCCCAAAACTCGATAGAAATAAGTCACAGCTTCTAAGAAAAAATACTAAGTGTCTCTATACATCAGAGTCTAAAGAGAACAAGGAAAACAACATAATAAGGATAGAAGAGGACTCCGAGGTCTGCGGACGCTGACATATATACCTTGAAGTCTTTGCGTACGGACTAGCTCACTGATACCTGGTCTGATAGGAAGTACCTGGATCTGCACAAAAAGATGTGCAGAAGCGTAGTATGAGTGCACCACAGAGGTACCCAGTAAGTGTCTGTGGACGCTAGCAGATATACCTTGAAGTCTCTACGTACGGACTAGCTCACTGATACCTAGTCTAGTAGGAAGTACCTGGATCTGCACAAAAAGATGTGCAGAAGCATAGTATGAGTATACCACAGCGGTACCCAGTAAGTGTCTGTGGACGCTAGCAGATATACCTTGAAGTCTCTACGTACGGACTAGCTCACTGATACCTAGTCTAGTAGGAAGTACCTGGATCTGCACAAAAAGATGTGCAGAAGCATAGTATGAGTATACCACAGCGGTACCCAGTAAGTGCCAAGCCTAACCTCGGTAGAATAGTGACTAGGTCAGGTTAGGGCCCTACTAGAAATAATAAAAAATAGGGCAAAAAGTTTAACAAATATAATAATAATAATAATAATAATGACAATGGAAGTGAATCAAGTAAGGAGTATATCACAGTTTAACTACACAAAATAAGGGCAAATAATACATTACGGAAGAAGGACATGAATTTACATATTCAGGGAAAAACAATACAATCAAGACAAGTACACCAATAGAAAAATATCAACAAGGGCACTCACGAGGTACCACCTCGTAGTCCTAAATCATAAATAAATTCATAATATTTCTTTTCCTTATATCATCGAGGGAGCTATCACATTTAGTTTAAAAGAAATTATTTTTTTAAAATAATCTCGCATTTTAGCCCACCTTATCACACCACATGACTTCTAGTAGTTTCCTACTAGCCACGCGTATCAAGCTCACCTTATCTCACTGCATGCGTTTCAACACCCAGACTTTATACCACTACATACGTATCAATATCACAATTCGCACCTCAAGTGCCCAAATATTTCAACTTGCCAAATAAATCAACAATATTATTTTCCACAATAAGGAGATCACGGTTCAATCAGAAGGATACAAAATTCTCAACCAAATATTCGAGAGTGAATAACTCAACAAAATAATATTTCACAATTTAACACTTTGTCTTAATACCAAATTTCAATGTCAAACACTTCATATTTTAGTAATTCAATTAAGAAATTCAACTTTCAAATAATGAGCACAGAATAAAAGGAAACAAAATTTCAACTAAACAGGTAAAACAATTAGTAGAAAAAAGGTAAGGTAAATTTAAAATATAAAAGTAGACCAATGATGATGAGTATAATAGGATAAAATAATTTAATTAATATGTGACAGAGATCTACACAATTTAAAGCTAGAGTTTTTCACATTTAGCCTGTATACACACTCGTCACCTCACGTACACGGCTTTCAACACATCACAGTTATCATAACAATATCAATACTAAGGGGAATTTTCCCCACACAAGGTTAGACAAGTCACTTACCTCGACTTGCGTTAATTCAATCCACTAGTAGGCTTTTTCCTTGATTATCCAATCTGAATGACTCGAATCTAGCCAAAACAATTAATTCGATGCAGTCAATATAAGTTATAAGAATTAATTCCATATGAAAATACTAATTTTTCCAACAAGAAATCCGAAATTCCACTCAAAAATCGCCAGCGGGGCTCACATCGCGGAACTCGATAAAAGTTACTAAATATGAACGCCCATTCAACGACGAGTCCAACCATACCAAAATTAATAAATTCTTATAACAATTCCGCCCTCAAATCTTCAAATTTAACCAAGAGGATTTCCACAATTTTTCCAACTCAAAACACCTATTAAATAACCAAACAAATAATGCAACAACAATAGATAGATTTTTCTCTCTACACAAGGCGATATTCTTCTACTGTAAAATTACAGTGCCTTCATTGCCTTAGATCCTCCATTAGGCGATGGAATTCCTCCAGACTTACCCATTAACACAACCGCTAAACCCCAATTGGTTTCAGCTGAAAATTCCAAACGACCTGCTTCAGATTTACAAATAGGTGAATAGTGCAATGTAGCGGCTAATCGTCTGGAATCGTCGAACTATGCCCAGATCTTTACTGGGCCAAATCGACAAACGCAACATACTGGAGTTTCTTCTCCACCTCAAACGCTACCTCTGATTCCAGTCAAAGAGCTATCGACTATGCGAATTGAGACTTCCATCCCTTCCCAAATTGGTCGCGATCACACAGCTAATGGAGATGACGGCGAAGGCATCCACACAAATACAACTCAATAGGAAATGGCTTCTGCATATCTATATAACATCTCACAGCAAGCAACTCAACACTTTATTGACCCAATTTCTACAACAATCAACAAAGCATCCTCTGCAATTCCTTCCACCCTGGCTGCTCGACAAAATACTTCAACCAGTTCTACCACTGCAATTGGGATCCTATTGGCTGGGAAAACTCCAATACAGGATGATACAAGTCACAAAGATGTCCAACTCCAAGCATAAGCTGAGAAAAATGGTGCTCCACCAAGTGATGCCCCTAATGTTGTGCACATGAATTACCAACCTGTTCCTGCTCCTTCACTGGCCAAAGACCAATTGAGATGCTATCTGTTGACATGGAGCATATATCTCAATCACCCCTACACATCAACTTCATCCAATTCTTACATCTCCAAATTTACCAGCATCAGGGAATGTCTCTGCAGTTCCTTTATGGAACTTGGTTTCTACAACAACTACTATGTTAACTAGGACTGGAAATGATCACTCATAGTCTCAACCCATTCACATACCAAGACCCTCTACCTTTTCTAAAGTATATGCTAATTTTGATATATTTCATGTCACTAAACATCAAAATCCAACTAACAGCCAACACCTAAACACCCACAATCATAGCTTACCTCCCAAAGAATCTACTCCCCAAGCAAAAGATTACATGCAACGCATACCTTTACCACACTCACATACAAATCCTACAAATTCAACCACTTTTGATCACTCAGAACACCCCAACACTACTAAAGTACCTACAATTGTTAGCTAAAATACCCAACCTCAGACCATTAAAACAACTACCCACCAAATACAAAAGACAACAAATCCCAACCACATAAAATATCCTCCTATCCTACACCACCACCTCACAATATCACATAGTCCCTAGCTACCAAACTGCGAGCAAGGCAGGCTGCAGATATTGCCCCAATAGAATTCACAGCTCCCAGAATAACTACCAAGCAGGGCCAACCAACTGTTATCTTCACTCAAAAGGATTACATGATCACTCTGACAAACATGTGCCAATATACAATTGTAGGCAAGATTTTAAATACAATGCCTAGAATGGAACAGATTAGGAGCAGTTTCATTGTCCAAACTGAACTCAGAGGAGGAGTAAAGATAGCTCATTTTAATACTAGAACAGTTTACATTGACCTTCACAATGAGTATGATCACACCACTGTCTAGACAAAAATTTTCATGTATATTGAGGGACAAAGAATGGATTTACAGGCTTGGACACCCAACTTCAATCCAAATGAGGATACTCCTATTGTCCCTATTTGGATAGTCATCCCAGAGCTGCCATGGCATTTCTACTTGTTACACCCTGTACATCCCAAGGTGACGTATAATGAATATGAGACTTGTTAATCATGATTTAAATTATTTTAAAGTCATACTATGATTATATATAATGTTTGGATAGAAAATATAAAGTTTGGGAAAAATAAGATTTAAGTTGCGAAAAAATTGACTAAGTATTTATCTTGTAACAGAGCTTTTTGAGAAATAAATTTTGTGCACTATATGAGGTATTTTTGGGACATATTATATACCAAATGGAAGATCTTGGAATTTAGTTTTCAACGATCTT